CAGCGCTGCAGCGGGAGCACGATTCGGAACGAGCGGAAGCGCGGAAATGAGGCCAGCGCTGCAGCGGGAGCACGATTCGGAACGAGCGTAAGCACGGAAATGAGGCCAGCGCTGCAGCGGGAGCACTATTCGGAACGAGCGGGGCCCGAAAATGAGGCCGTCGCCTCAGCGAGAGCAGCAGTTTGAAAACAAATGCAGGCGAAAACCCAACTCCGGGGAATCCTGTGTGTAAAACGATAGTACGCGGGGGGGGGGGGGTGGCAAACACTTCCAACCCGTCATCAGGGGAAGGAGGAGAGTAGTATTCATATTGGGTAAGTGTGAAGGGCGTGGAGGGAGACGGAGGGAGGGAGGGAGGGAGGGAAGGGGAGGAGGGGGGCGAGAAGGGGAGGAGGGAGGAGGGAAGAGAGGGAAAGAGGGGCAAGAGGGGCGAGGGGGAGAAGGTGGATGAGGCATGATGGTGATCACGACGATGATAATGATGGGGAGGCGGAGGATAATGACGATGACGATGATGACGATGATGAGGCGGAGGCGGAGGAGGAGGAGCAGGAGGAGGAGGAGGAGGAGGAGGAAGGGGAGGTGGAGAGGGGTGGGGGAGGAGGAGGAGGAGGAGGAGAGGGAGGAGGAGGAGGAGGAGGATGGAGGAGGAGGAGAGGGAGGAGGAGGAGGGGGAGGAGGAGGGGAGGTGGAGAGGGTGGGGGAGGAGGATGAGGAGGAGAGGGAGGAGGAGGAGAGGAGGAGGAGGAGGATGAGGAGGAAGAGGAGGAAGAGGAGGAGCAACAGCAGGGGGAGGTGGAGAGGGTGGGGGAGGAGGGGGAGGAGGAGGAGGAGGAGGAGGAGGAGGAGGAAGAGGAGGAGAAGGAGGAGGAAGAGGAGGAGGAGGAGGAGGAGGAGGAGGAGGAGGAAGGGGAGGTGGAGAGGGTGGGGGAGGAGAAGGAGGAGGAGGAGGAGGAGGGAAGGGCAGACGGGAACGAGGGAAGGGCAGGATGAAGAAGGGAACGAGGAACAACACGAGGCGAGCAGACACGGACAGGGGGAGGGGGGCGAAGGAGGTGCAAACAAACAGACTCATGCAGGCGGGGAACGAGGGCAGGGGCGTCGGGGCGGTCGCCGAGGTGGTGGCGGTCGGGGTGGCCGTCGGGGTGGTGGGCGGTGGAGCCGAAGGCGGGGGCGCCAGGGGGGGGGCTTCGACAGCAGGGGCGTCGGGGTGGTCGTCGGGGCGGTGGCGGTCGGGGTGACCGTCGAAGTGTTCGGCGGGGGAGCCGAGGGCGGCGGCGGGGGGGGAGTCGGCGGCGGTCAGGGGCGCATGGGCAGGGCGGGGTGGGTCAGGCGCTCATCCCCGTGGTGAGCGGAATGGCTGCCGCGTAGGGCTCCCGTCAGAGCTGGCGGGCCCGCGGTCTGCGCGGCGTCTGCCGCGCGCGCAGCCGTCGCCGCGGCGAGTCTGGCTGCGGGCGCCCTGCCCGGGGGTTGCAGCCTGCCGAGCACGGCCCGCGCTCTCTCCCTGTGCAGGGGGAGCGGGAGTCGCTGGGCGCGCTCCGCCGCCGCGAGGGCCGGGTCCTCCCTTGTGGCGTCCTCCGCGCGCTTCGCCAGGGCGGCTGACGCGCGGCGTGCATCTTTGCTCAAAGCGACGCCGTGCGTCCCCATCTCCATAGGGACGAAAGTGACGACGACGGCCGCGCCGCAGCTGCGCGCCGTTTCGATGAATTGGCGTCAGTGTTCCTCATAGCATTCGGCGTCGGCGCTGGGCGCGGCGGCCGAGGCTGCACGAAGGTCGCCTCGAGGTGGCTCCTTGGTCGTGGCTCTTTGGTTCCGCGGTCTTAGTTCCTTGGCTCCTTGTTCTTGCTTCTTCCTTGTTGCCTCGCCACGATGTCAAGCAGTGCCAAGCCTAGCAAGGCAATGCCAAGCAAAGCCAAGCCCTGCCAAGCAATAGGCGCCACGCCAAACCATGCCAAGCAATGCCCACAAGCAGGGCCAAACATCGGCAAGCAATGCCAATAAACGCCTAGCAATGCCAAACAATGCGCCCATCACGTAAACGTGTCGCGCCTGTGCCAATTCGATACGTTGGCGGTCCGTGGACGACGAAGACAGCGACAAACCTTTTTATGTTTTTCTCGGTGCCCTCATATCCGATGCTGCTGACCATACGTCGCGAACAGTCACCACCGGAGCCCCATAGCCAATCATCCCGCGCCCCCTTTCGCGCCGGATCGATGCCTGATGGTCCTGAACCCCGAGCCCTGGCCAAGGCGCGCCGAGTGTAGGCAAAACTGCGACGACCGCGACGACGACGGCGACGCCTCGGGGCCCAGGCGCACGCGAGCGAGCCAGGGGAGATCGCAGAGGGCGCGCGCACGCGCACGCCTCTCGGGGCCCGCGCCGCCTCGGCCCGGGGGCCCGTCGTCGCCCACGAGGCCGCTCCTCTCCGGAGGGGGAGGGGGGCTCGGAGGGCGGGCCGGCGAGGAGCGACGAGGACCCAGAGATCCGACGTATGGACAAAAGGATCATTCGCACGCACCTCTCCGAGGGAGTAGAGCTCAGAGGCGATCGGTTGTGAAGCCGCGTTTCTTCCGTGGGCCGTTTCGCTCAGGACATCACCAGAAGTGTAAACATCGGACGCGCCCCTCATGCAGATCGCGACGTCACCGCCTAAAACCACAGCCTTTTTGCAACAAGTGTGATGTACAGTTGCACATGGATTTCGACCCGATGTTTTGACAATCGCAGTTTCGCCTGAGAGATCCTCCACGAATTTAGCCCCTTTCCAATGCGGTGAGTCAAAATCAGTCTCGCCTGAGACATCCTTCCACCATCTTTCCCCGACGTACAACGCACACGCAGATAATACACACAGAACGCACACACACACAACGCCAAGCACAGCACACACACACACACACACACTGAACACACACAACCCTACAAAACGCAGAGCACACATAATTCGCCGGCCCAACGGGCCAGAGGCGTGCTAAGATCTCCGGTAACTGGTTAACAATTCTCTAGTTCGCGCGCGCGGGGCGGCCCCTGCGGGTCCCCGGACGAAAAGTACCCCTGGCGACTCCCGGCTGATCCCAGGGCGACTCCACCAGAGCGCTCCATGAGCGCACCAACAGGGCTCCGAGACGTCCCCGAGAGCCCCAAGCAAGGCCAAGAGGCCCCCAAGAGGCCCCCAAGATGGTACACGAGGGGTCCGACATGCCACAAGATCGCTCCAAGACGCACAAGATAGCCCCCAGACGCTCCAAGAGGCCTCCAAGAGCGCTCCCAAGAGGGCCCCAAGTGGCAAAATTCTTTGTTGTTCCTTAGGTTTTTGAGACATTTTGGAGCTTCCACCTTTTCGGCTTCCCGACGCCCCAAGACGGCCCAAGAGGCCCCCAAGATCGCCCCAAGAGGGCCCAAGAGGCCCCCAAGAGGGCCCCAAGATGGCCCAAGAGGGCTCGAAGACGGCCCAAGAAGCCTCCAAGACGGTCCAAGAGGGCCCCAAGAACGCCCCCAAAGGGGCCCCAGAGAGGGAACACGAAACAACATTTCGAGCCCTCGGCCCTAAGAAGCCCCCACGAGGCCCCAAGAGGCCCCTAAGAGGCCCCAAGAGGCCCCCACGAGGCCCTCAGGAGGCCCCCAAGAGTCCCCCAAGCGGCCCCAGGAGGCCCCCCAAATGCCCCCCCGAGCACGCAAGCAAGTGCAAGCGATGCTACAATGTGCTCTCCTTTCGGTAGACTCCCAACGGGGCCCCTACAGACTTGCAACAAGCGTCAAGAACCTGCCCAAAAAGCACTGTCCAGGAGCGTTCACAAGTGCCGCGAAGAAGCCCTCCTTACGCCGGAAAGCCCGGAAAGCCGGGTGGGGTGAGCTGTTCTTCTCACCACCGCGCCCTCTCACACAATGGCTTCCGCACGCCGCCCAGAGCGCGATGCCTCCCAGACTGTCTGGGCCGGCGGAATGAGCGAAGCGGTTAAATAAGTAGATACAACGATATATGTGTATATATTTATATATACACAGAGGCGCAAACACAACACACGACTACCACACACATGATACACACACACACACGCTACACACTACCCACAACACAAGCAACACGCACACCACACACAACACACCAAACACACGCAACACGCATAACACACTTGACCCAAACAAGCCTCACACATAGGACACACAACACACACACACAACAGACATGACTCAAACCTTACACACAACGCACACTCGCACATCCTGCACATGTATGAGCCTGGGCACGCACGTGTCACTTGTAATACCCAGAGGAAGAAGCAATATCGATACCATTGCTCGTCTTACAATTGTTAGCCATCGTGGACCCCTAATGGTATGTTTCTATCAACCTATATGACATCTATGTGGCGCAGTCTATGTGGTGAAATATGTGTGGTGCAATCTATGTAGTGCAGTTTAGGTGGGGCAAATATATGTGGTGCAATCGATGTGGTACAAGCTATGCTGTGCAACCTATGCGGTGTAACCGACGTGGCTCAGTCTAGAAGGTGCAATCGATGTGGAGCAATCTTCGTTGTGCAATCTATGCGAAACGACACCCAGGCACACACGACGGGCGGCGATGAGGTGGACTACAAGAAACAACTTCTAAGTGCAAGTACTGTTTCGGGAATGATGCCGATACCGCTGCAGAGCGCGTGGTAACAACATAGAGCATCGACTACATCTTGTTTACCTTGGTTGGTTGGATGGTGGGCTGAACCAATTTTTTGAAGACAGGCTGGGTGTCCTTGTGTCTCAGGGCGCAGCGCGGAAACAGGCATGGACCGCAGGGTAGAAGCCATGGAAGCCACCGAAGTACCTGCGCCGCCGGCGCAAAAACTGTAGCGAGGGGATGGATGAGTTCGGCGGTGGCGTGCACCACACGATGCGGCCAAGAGCAAAGCATCACAACATACTGCCACAACATACTTCTCGACGGTGCCTTACTCATGCAAGAAGACCATGGAACGTGACCAGAGCATTACATGGGAGGCCCCCGCCCGGGATGGTGATGTGAACACTGAAGGAGTATGGGCATGGGGAAACTACGAGGCAGATGAGGATCACGAGGAGACGCCAAGAGATCAACACATTCAAATTCCGTACCAACATGTCGCTCTCGGGCTGGCCGGATCTTGGCGCGGGTGCTGAGATTTGGATAGCAAGCCGTTTCAGACTATTTACAAATATTTACAGATCTTGCGCCGTGGACGCTGTCCCGTCGTGCAACGGCTGGCGGCTGCTAGGCCGTGGATACTAGCCGGCCGCAGCAACGCCCGCCAATTGAAACCTGAAACCTACGCGCTTACTACTACAAGGAAAGCATGAAGGGAAAAAAGGCCGAGGCGGACGGGTGGAACGGGAGGGGGGAAGAAGGAGTGGATGGAACGGACCTTCGGAGGGTTCCTGTCGACGTCAATGCTGGCTCTCAAACGCCTGACATGGCGCGGAAACAAGCATCCGACGTCATTTCTATTTTTCGCAACGGGGACCCAAGAGGTCCGCTCACCTTCCCAAGGACCGGTTTCGCAACACAATGTTATTTCTATTTGAGGTCCTGGGGTGCGGCCCCCCCAATCGCCGAACACAGCAAATAGTTTGGCGAGGGACCCAACCTTAGCAGCCTCACGCAACGTTCGTGAAGAACCTCTCCATGCGCAGATCATGCTTGAGGGACCGAAATGAAGCGGCGCCGCCAGACGGGAGCCTTCCGTGGGGCCTTCGGTGGCGCTCCACGTGGATCCACGGAATGCCATAAGGGTCTGTGGAAGTAGGCTGGGGGATGCTATTTGGTCGGGCCCACCGAAGCCGTCGTTGGAATATGGGACAAAAAAGCGTGTGAGGGGTGCGTGGAGCCTCCTGTTGGGCCGAGAAGCGTCCGAGGGGGTCACGACATGCCCTGGGGACCGCATGCCCTCCCATTTTGGAGGCGTCGGCGGTGCCGGCATGGGCCAAGGGACAACGTTGCCCCTCTCTCCCCGCCCCACCCTGGTGGCCTCGGTTGAATTCACCATGGGGCCACGGAGAGTGCGAGCGGTGTGCCGAAGTGGACATGCGGAGGGCAGGAGCAGGAGCAGGGGAAGGAATGTGAAGAGTAACGCGCAATGCTGCTGATTCAAAGCGAGGGCCCAACGCGAAAAGACGGGAAGGAAAACAAGGCTGCCGACCCCACGCCCTCACGCCATGGGCATTCCGGCTATGAACGTCCAACCGTGCCAAAACATTGAAAAAAGGATTTGTGTTAAAATTTCGCAAAGGAATATCACGGCCGTGGTTAAAAAACAGGCGACGACGCGCTGCTGATGCATGGAAGGCCGAACTTCCCACCGCTGTGGAGGATATGCTTGACGTAACGAGGAGGCCGTGTTTCCTGCAAAGCGCTTCCGGCAGCATTAGGAAGCGCGTGCCTCCTGCAAAGAGTGCAATTCTTGGCATCGCACGGAGGCGCTGACTCCTTGAAGAAACCACTGGAAGGGGAAGCGTTGCCTGCCGGGGGAGGAGGAAGGGCGACTGGCGGAGGAAGGAGCAGCATCGCCACGATTTCTCGTTGCAGCTGCGTCGCAACGCGCGAGGCCGCGGCAGCAGCGCCGGAGGCGGAGTTTGTCGGCGCGTTGCTTTGCACATATTGGGAAAACTCCCGGGCCGCACTCTAGCGAGGAAAAGCGGCGGCACGTGGCGACACATCCGGGAACACCACGACTCGAACGACATTCCCGACAGGCGGCGCGACTTCAATGAACGCACATTGAAGGCTAGAAGCTTCTTTCTAAGTTCCGCGGGCGGGCAGCCGTTGTGAGGTATCGGGCGTCCACCTGCAAGGCTAGTTTTGGATACCTGCTGGATATGTGGGGGTGCTGGGGAGGACGTCGCGCTGCATGAGACGCGGTACCTGCGCACCTGCTACCACACAGCTGCGCTGCGGATGCGTGTTCAGAAATAAGATGTTGCGCCACTCCGCCAGTAGATTCGAGACCCTGCTTGTCGCTTTTCCAACGCTGCAAGCAAAGAGCTGGCGAGGGAAACCGAAGGTACCTACCTTTCTTCCTCGAGATGGCCTCCGCGGGGAGGCAGCCGTCTTTGCGCTGGACTGACAACGAGGCACATTTCAGGAACAGCAGCGACGGGCACGTGGCGGACAGGCCCAGAGAGGCCCGGCTCCGTGATCACGGCGAGGGGCTTGTCCACACGTTTCATCGCGCGCACCCGCATGCGGCCGATAGTGCAGCTTGTGTGACGCTCGCCCCTGCGGACAGACAAGAACCGCATGGGGGTGGGGGCGGGCGCGCCGCGGTGTGGGAGAGAACGGGAGGGGCGACTCATCCTGCTTCAGAGGGGCTCCCGTCCTGTTTCAGGAGGCCGCGCTTCCTTCTTCGAATGATGCGACGTTGAAGAAAAGACGACGGGCATTCAACGGCGAGCGCTACACATGTCAGGAGCAGCCCTGAAACAGTCCCCTCTGATTGCAACTTAAGGATGGATGCGGTCTGGAACTTTTGACTAGCGTGTTGCGGCGGTGGACCCATGGCCCCCGTCCCTTTAGCCTCAGTTCGGGCGGATTTCGAAGGAACATCAAAAATAGTCCAAACATATTTTGAAAATTGTCAGAAATAGTCCAACAATCGTTCCCACACCACTTGTGAACTATTTTTGGATTCTCCTCCTGTAGAGGGACGTGCTCGACTTGTAACTGTAGCCCTGGCTCGACCTGAGAACGCCCGCGCCAGCGACCGCCGGGCCTCTGCGAGCGGCGGGCGGGGGGCGCACGGCGTCCGGGCAAAGCTCTGAGAGCGTTCCGGAACGCTCTGGAAGGGATGCGTCCTGGTCCTGGCCCCGTCCGGGAGGAAGGGGGGAGCGGGCGCGGGCCGTCGGTCCGACGGACTGGCCCTACGAGGGCAGCGCGGGCGGGCCAGGGCCCACAGGGGGGTCAGGCTCGACAATGGCGAGGTTCATGCCGAGTGGTGGGATCGGCAGTCGGATGAGTGTCAGCCAGAGTCGGATGGGAGACGGATCGCAGGAGTCGCAGGGGAGCGGCCTCTGCCTGGACGCGCACGGGCGCCTGGGGCACGGCACGGGCCTGTGGGCAGCACGGGCGGCCGCCGCGGGACACTGCCGCCCTCTCAGAGCTCGGTGGCCTGGCCTCAAGGCGGGCGGGTGATCTCCAGGGGCCTTCGAAGAAGGGAAAAAAGACACACCAAACCCAGAAGTGCCTTCAGACTCCCCGCCCCCCCCCCCCCCCCAGCGGGAACCAATCATAATTCCGACGCCCTTCATGACGGAGGAGAGGAGGAACAGGAGGAGGAGGAGGAGGAGGGTCGAGTTTCTTCCCCGCTGAGAGAGGCAGGGCGGGGGCGGGATACTCAGAACTGAAGACCCTTCGAAATTCTTATTTCGTGGGGGTCCGCGCAGATGTCTTGGATCGGCGCTGGGCCCCCCTCCCTGGCGCCGCCATGGGGGGCCCAATGCCAGCCCGGGAGATCCGCGGGTACCCCAGAGAATGTATGTCCATTGGGAAGCCGAGAGGCACCGACGCCGCTTTCTCTACGCCGCGAAAATCTAGATCTGCATCTATATCTGTATATAGATGTATGTATGTATGTATATATATATATATATACACACACATACATACACACATATAACGGCGCACCGGGTCCGGGGGCCGGGGGCCGCGACCACGACCGCAAATGTGTGTGTGTGTGTGTGTGTGTGTGCCCAGGCTCTTGGGCGTCCCTGAGGCCCTCAAAACGCCCCGGGAACGCGCCAAGAGAACCCGAAGACGCCCCAAGACGGACCCAAGACACCCAAAGGCCGCTCCAAGATGCCCAAGATGGCCCCCAAGACACCTCCAAAGGCCTCGCAGACGCTCTAAGAAGCCCCCGAGAGGCCCTCCAGGACGTCCCCAAGAGGCAAAAATAGCCCCATTCCCTTTCGCAAAACGTACATTTTTAGCATATTGATTGTTTTCGCTGTCGTACCGTTCTTGACGACATCAGAGGTCCCCAAGACCGCCCCAAGACGGCCCAAGAGGCGCCCCCGAGGGCCCCAAGACGGCCCAAAAGAGCCCCAGGACGGCCCAAGAGGCGCCCAAGACGGCCCAAACGGGCCCAGGGGGGGGGCCAAAATCGGTGCCGTCATCCCCCATGGGGGCCCCCCCGAACCTTTGGGGGGTCGCAGACCCCCCGGGACTGCCCCGGCCCGCTTCCAAATTGCCCGCGACAGGCTATGCGGGCCGTGCAGATGGTCACGAAAGCCTGAAGAGGCCCCGAAGACGCCTAAGAGCGCCCCAAGAGGGCCCGTGAGGGCCCCACGAGGGCCTTCAAGAGGCAACAATCGGCCCATTTCCTTTGTAAAACGTGCATTTACAGCATGCTCGCTGGCTTCGTCTTCACAGTGCCCCAGACGTCCCCGCGGCGCCCCAACACAGCCCAAGAGAGACCCAATAGGGCCCCAGACGGCCCAAAAGGGTCGGCCTGTGGGGTTCACGGAACCCCCAAGACGGCCTAAGAGACCCCGAAACTGGCCCAGGAGGACCCAAGATGGCCTCAGGGAGGCCCAAGAGGGCCCCGTTCGAAATCATGTTCCTGGGAGCCTCTCCGGGAACATGACTTCTGGGCTCCCAGGGCCCCCCACTGAACCCCAGGACAGCTTCAGCGAGGCCCAGGAGGGCCCGAGATGGCTTGAAGATGACCGAAGAGGGCCCCAAGAGGTCCTTCAAGAGGCGCAAATCGGCCCATTTCCTTTGTAAAACGTACATATTCAGCATGCTCGCTGGCTTCGTCTTCACAGTGCCCCAGACGTGCCCGCGGCGCCCCAACACAGCCCAAGAGAGATCCAAGAGGGCCCACGACGGCCCAAAAGGGTCGGCCTGTGGGGCTCACGGAACCTCCCAAGACAGCCCAAGAGGCCCCGAAGCCAGCCCAGGAGGCCTCCAAGACGGCCTCAGGAAGGCCCAAGAGGGCCCCGTTCGACATCATGTTCCCGGAAGCCTCTCTGGGAACATGACTTCTGGGCTCCCGGGCCCCTTCGACCCCTAGGGAGCCCCAGGACAGCCTCAGCGAGGCCCAAGAGGGCCCGAGATGGCTTCAAGATGGCCGAAGAGGGCCCCAAGAGGGCCTCCAAAAGGCAAAAATCAGCCCGTCCCCGTAGTAAAACGTACATATTCAGCATACTCCCCTGCTTCGTCTTCGCAGTGCCCCAGACGCTCCCGAGGCGCCCCAAGACAGCCCAAGAGAGATCCAAGAGGGCCCACGACGGCCCAGAAAGGTCGTCCTGTGGGGCTCACGGAACCCCCCGAGGCCCCCAAGACGGCCTCAGGGAGGCCCAAGAGGGCCTCGTTCGAAATCATGTCTCCGGATGCCTCTCCGGGAACATGATTCCTGGGTTCCCACGACGCCCAAGGACAGCCCCCAGAGGCCCCGGACACGCCGAAGATGGCCTGAGGACGGCCGACGACGCCGCCAAAACGCCCCACGAGCGCCTCCAGAGGCCCCTCCAAAGGGTCCCAGAAGCCGAAAACCATACAGTTTTCAATGGTTTTTGAAGCATTCTTGCGCTCTCCCATGTTCCACCTCCCCATGGTCCCGGATCGCGTCAGAGGCCCTTCAGATCGCTCCAAGACGGCCGAAGAGGCTCCCAAGAAAGCCCAGAGACGGCCCAGGAGGCTCCCCAAATAAGTCAAGAGGGCCTCGAGAGCGCCCCGAGAGAGCCCCGAGAGCGACCCAAGAGGGCCCGAAGAGCGCGACATTTCGAGGTCTCCGGCCTGAGAGGCTCTCAGGACGCCCCTGGAGGCCATCAAAAGGCTCCCAAGAAGCTCCGTGAGGCTCCCAAGAGGCCCCCCGGAAGCCCCAATAGGCCCCCAAGGGGCCCCAGGGAAGCCCCCTGCGGGACCCCAAGACACTTCGGTGAATCGTATTTCCCAGATAGCTTTCCGGGAACATGATTCTTCCTTGGGCTTCCGCCCACCGCCCCAACCATGTTTCTTATAGGCTTGCCGACAAGGCCAAAAGGCGCCCCTCGGTAAGCCCCCAGAGGCCCCCCTCTTAGAGAGCCGAACAAATCATGCTCCCAGAAAGCTTCCTGGGAACATGATTCTCTATCTCGGAGTAGGCCCGGGGGGGGGGCGGGCCGCCGCCTGTTCCCCCCATCGGTGCCCACCAGGGGTTGCGGGGGGGGGGTCCAGAGCTCCCGAGGAGGCCCGAGCCCGCCCCGAAGCAGGCCACGACAGGCTAAAGGGGTCCCGAGAGGACCCAAGACGGTCCCACGAGGCCCCGAAGACGCCCAAGATACCCTCAAGACAGCCGACGAGGACTCCAACACGCTCCAGGACGGATTCAAGAGGCTCCCCAAGAGGGCCCTGGAAGGCAAGATTCGCTCGTTTTCCAAATGTTTTGGATTTTGGCGTTCTCGCTTTTCCCGCTTTCCAGCTCTCCCTCACGGCCTCGGAGGCCCTTCAGATCGCTCCAAGAAGGCCCACGAGGCCCCGACGAGGGCCCCAAGACGGCCCAGGATGCTCCCCAGACAACCCAAGTGTGCCCCAAGAGCGCGCCAAGAGAAGGCCCAGAGGGGTCCCGAGGCGGCCCGGGCCTGCCCCGAAGCAGGCCACGACAGGCTAATGGAGGTCCCGAGAGGGCCCTAGACGGTCCCAAGAGGCCCCGAAGACGCCCAAGCTGCCCTCAAGACGGCCGACGAGGATTCGAACACGGTCCAGGACGGACTCAAGAGACTCCCCAAGAGGGCCTTGGGAGGCAATATTCACTAATTTTCCGATCGTTTTTGAAGGATTTAGGCGTTCTCGCTTTCCCCGCTTCCCAGCGCTCCCTCACGGCCTCGCTCGGAGGCCCTTCAGGTTGCTCCATGACGGGCCAGGAGGCCCCGAAGAGGGCCCCAAGACGGCCCAGGAGGCTCCCCAGACCACCCAACTGTGCCCCAAGAGCTCCCCAAGAAAGGGCCCAGAGGGGGACAGCCAACCGATGTGTCGAGCTCTCTGGCCCTCGAGGCCGCCTGTAGGCCCCAGGAGGCCACCAAGAGCCCACGAAGCCCCGTGAGGCGCCCAAGAGGCCCCCAGGAAGCCCCAAGAGACCCCCCAAGGGGCTCCCAGGGAACGCCCAAGAGGCCCCCCAACACACCCCAAGAAATCATGTCCACAGAAAACCTTCCAGGGACATGGTTCATCATGGGCCCGAGAGTTCCCGGAGGCCCCCAAGGGGCCCCCAGGGAACGCCCAAGAGACCCCCCAACACACACCAACAAACCATTTCCCCAGAAAGCCTTCTGGGGACATGGTTCATTATGGGCCTGCGAGTCTCCAGAGGCTTCGAAGTACCCTCATGCTACAGGAGAGCTGTCTGGGAAGTTGATTGGGAACATGACTGATTGCCTTCTCGCGGCCCTTCGCGGATCGTTTCGCACAAAATTGCCCCAAGTGCCCTCTGGAATCGACGACGACGACGACGAAACGACGAAGACGACGAAGACGACGACGACGACGGCGACGGCGACGACGACGACGACGACGACGACGACGACGACGACGACGACGACGACGGCGCGCCCCAATAGGCGACGACGACATTACGACGACGACGACGACGACGACGACGACGACGACGACGACGACGACGACGACGGCGACGACGACGACGACGACGACGACGGCGACGACGACGACGGCACGCCCCAACAGGCTCCCCAAGACGCCCCAAACCCATGCTCCCAGAGGGCCTTCTGGGAACCCGATTCACACGGCCTCCGCCCCCCTACACAACCATTTTCCTCGAAGGCCTTTCGGATTGCAGATTGGCATGCGTGGACTGTGGTCCACTACTTCAGTGGAGCAGCAGTGAATTCGTGAAGGCCTGGGGCCTGTTAGAACCTGAGCGCGCGCGAAGCGCGCGCGATGGTTCTAGGATATATATATATATATATGTCCGTACACACATATATCTAAATCTACCTATATATGTATATACATATCTATGTATGAATATATATATATATATATATATATATATATACATACATTGCACACATCACCACCCTCCGACGAATTCTGCATGTACCACGAATTCTGCATGTACCACCCTCCCCTGAGGCCAAAGAGAAATCCATTGGAGGGTGTCTGTGGGTATTCTTCTGTGGCGGATTCTGCCTAGGAGCTCTCCCAAGGTGCGTTGTGAATCGGACCTCGAGGCGAACCCAGCCGCGGCGACGAGGGCTTCCAAGGCGGCCCACCCGGAGGAAGACGTGGCTGGGGGCAGCGGCATTGGCACCCCGTCCTCCTCTGATTTTCTGCCTTTTTCTGCCCCCCCAAGCCTGACGCCCCGCGGCGGGGCGGCATCCGGCGCCTCGACCGGCTTCTTGGTGCGTGGGTCCTGGAGGAAGAACTCCCGGCACAAACACAAACTTTTGGAGGTCCGCGCGGATTCGTTGGATCCGCGCTGGGTCCCCCTCCTTGGCACGCGGAGCGCGCCAGCGGCGGCGCCGGAGGCGCCGCCAGGGCGGCCCAGGCGCCGATACAAGAAATCCGCGCGGACCGTCGAAAGTTTCTGCTCATGCCGTGTTGCTATTCGTCGAGGTCCAGGATCTGGAACTGCCGCCTCGGCCCGGCGCGCGCCAGCACCTGCGCTGGCTGCTGGGTGCGCGGGTCCAGGATCTGGAACCGCCTCCTCAGGAGGGCGAGAGAGAAGGCGCCAGTCGGGGCCGCTCTCCACAATTACACAGTATGAACTCTGCCCTCCTCTCTCCCCTGATGACGTCCGGAAGATGTCCGGCCCCCCTCCGCGCACTGTTTCTGCACACGCAGGGTTCCTAGGAGTTGGGTTTTCGCGTTTTGTTTTCATTCCCTGGAGTTGGGTTCTCGCGTGTTCTTTTTTTTTAATCGTTGCTCCCGCTGAAGCGCTGGCCTCACTTTCGGGCTTCCGCTCGTTCCGAATCGTGCTCCCGCTGCAATGCTGGCATCATTTCCGCGCTTCCTCTCGTTCCGAATCGTGCTTCTGCTGCAGCGCTGGCCTCATTTCCGCGCTTCCTCTCGTGCCGCATCGTGCTCCCGCTGCAGGGTTGGCGTCATCATTTCCAGTGCCATGCCACGGCATGCAATTGAACGCTATGTGGTGTCCCGCTGTGCGATGCCATGCCTTGAGCTGCAATGCTAGGATATGCAATGCTTGACTACGCAGTGCCACGCAATGCTACGCTTTGATCTTCAACGCCATGCTATGCCATGCTCTGTTCTGTGCCGCTGTGCGATGACACTCTTTGCGTTGCAATGCTTTGTGATGCAATTCTCCACTACACATCTCCACGCCATGATATGCTATGACATAACACGCTCTGCCTTGCTCTTCTACGCCATGCTATGCCGTGCTCTACGATGCATTGCGCTCTCTCTCCCTCTCTCTGTCGGGATCATTGCCCTGCTCGACATCCGACTGTGCGAATAGAGAGGAGATCTATGCCATGGTAAGGGATGTGAGGGAGGGCTGGGACGTCAGATACGACGCGAGCGTACCTAGCTTGGACCCCCCTCTCCTCCTCGCTCGTCGGCTCTAGCATCCCCCTCATCTTGGCGCCCTCTCCCCCTCCCCTCCTCTTGGCATCGCTCGGACGTGTGTATTTCGCCTCGCCGAAGACCATCGAGGAGCATCCTGGATCCTTTCCATCAGCCGATGTGGGGCCCACCCACCTCTTCTGGAAGGCCCGCGCCTTCTCAGCCCCGCTTCCCGAAAAAGGCCGACCCCGCCCCGCCCCCCAAAATCTGTGCGCCGCCGACCCAGGCTCCATGCTCAAACCTCCGAGTCGTTGTTTGATGGTCCTCGGGTCTTGCGAGGGCCCCCCAGAGGCCAAACACTGGATACACATACATAGCACGGCGAAGAACCCAACACGCTCTCAAAAAGAGGCGGCACAGAACAGGACCGCTACACACAAGAATGCTCTGAGGGTCCTGCGGTACCCATGAACGCTTCGCCAAACGCGTCAAACCAAACTTGACGTTCTGTACTCACGCACGAACTCTGACGACGCCATGCGGACGCACCCGCTGGGGCCATGGGTGGAGCTCCAGGGGGGGCTGGAAACGTGTGAGTGGTATGCCGAAATGGGCGCGAGAACACCATGCGGACGCACCCACTGGGCCATGGATGGAGCTTCCTGATGGGCGCGGGGAGGCCATGCGGACGCACCCATTGGGGCCATGGGTGGAGCTCCCTGGGGGACCGGAAACGTGTGAGGGTGTGCCGAGATGGGCGCGAGGACACCATGCGGAAGCACCCTTTGGGGCCAGGGGTGGAGCTCCCTCGGGGGCCGGACAAGTGTGAGGGGCGTGCCGACATGGGCGCGGGGACACCATTCGGACGCACACACAGGGCCATAAATGGAACTCCCTGGGGGGAAGGAAACATCTAAAGGGTGTGCCGAGATGGGCCCGGAATGCCATGCGGACGCACCCATTGGGGCTATGGGTGGAGCCACCATCAGTGGAAACGAAACGTGTGATGGGGTGTGCCGATATGTGCGTGGGGACGCCAAGCAGCCGCACCCATTTGGCCATAGGTGGAGCTCCCTGGGTAACAGGAAACGTGTGAGGGGTGTTCCGAAATGGGCGTAGGCAGGAAGAGTAAGGGGATGATGATGATGAGGAGGAGCAGGAGGAGGAGGAGGAGGAGGGAGAAGGGGAGCGGAGGAGGGGGAGGAGGATAATTGGGACGAGGAGGAGGAGGAGGAGGAGGAGGAGGAGGAGAGGGTGGACGAGGAGGACCAAGCGCTTCATGGGGTGATCCAGTGCCTTTCGGCTCTGGCTGGGTGGCGCTGGGGCCCTCGCTTCTGAAGAGGCCGCGGCCCGATTGCCACTTGCGCCACCAGCCCAGCCCACAAGCCGAGAGACGTCAACTTCGATCCCTGGGGCAGGAGGGGAGGAGGAGGAGCGAGGGAGGGAGGAGGGAGGGAGGAGGGAGGGAGGAGAGAGGAGAGAGGAGGGAGGAGGGAGGAGAGAGGAGGGAGGAGGGAGGAGGGAGGAGGGAGGAACCAGGAAGCAGCCTCCCAGAGCCCAGCGAAAACGTCAACGAGACGGTGCGCGAGGCGGGCGCGGCCGAAGGTGGTGACCTCAGCCCGGTCGGAGGCCGCAGCGGCCTGGAATAGGTGCTTCCGGAAGGTCGGGCATGTCCTCCTGCAGGCGGATTTTGGGCGACAGTGACACATATTCAAACATCATTCAAAAATATTCCAAAGCCCCACAACGGCCCCCAAGAGGCTTCAAGTTGCCTTCCAGACGCCCCCAAGAGGTCAACCACGAGATCCCAATCAACATCCATAAGGCCTCCTCCTCCTCCCCCTTCACCCTTCCTCCTCCTACTCCCTTCCGCCTCCTCCTCCTCCTCCTCCTCCTCCTCCTGTCCTCCCCCTCGTGTTGTCTTTCGTCATCTTCAGGGTCGGCGGCAACGGCCGTAAGGCCTTCGCAATATTCCAAAATGGCCATCGTCCCAACACTATGCTTCGACTGTTCTTGACTGCTCCTCCTGTAGAGCGACACGGTCGACTGCATGCCTCCTGGGCAGCACGCGGACTCTGCAGTGCTCTTCGGCCGCGGGGCGCGCGGCCTCGACGGGAACGTGCCCGCACCTGGCGCGGCGGGAGCCAGGGGCCAAACGCACGCCGGTGCGGCAGGGGCAGCGGCGCCGGCCGGCCCGCACCCCCTGGCTTATAGCTCGGCAATCCGCTGTGCGCGGGAGGCAGGCACGTCCTGGAGGACGGGAATGAGGAGGAGGAGGAGGAGGAGGAGGAGGAGGAGGAGGAGGAGGAGGAGGAGGGGGAGGAGGAGGAGAAGGAGGAGGCGGAGAAGGAGGGAGGAGGAGGAGGAGGAGGAGGAGGAGGAGGAGGAGGAGGAGGAGGAGGAGGGGCAGGAGTGGAGGAGCCCGTCCGTGCGCAGGGACTGCGCCTCGTGCAGGGCCGCGAAGCGGTCACCCGAGTCCGTGGCGAGGCGTTCCACGGCCCCGTGGGGCGTGCCCGTGGATGCGGTGATGAGGCCCCGCGCATGAAGGGTGCCGTCAGGTGCCGGCGGAGGCGCCCGCTGCTGCCGCTGCGCAGCGTCGGCAGCTCCAGGGGCGCGCCACGAAGTGCTCTTGCAGCAAGTCCAGTTTGGACAGGCCTCACCTCCCGCGGCATGGGGAACTGCGGCCCGACCACCGCTGCCAGGACTTGTCCCAGCTCGATAATCCTCAGAGCGTGTGTCAGCGCCAACGTTGTGCTTGTCCACCGATGCCCTTCCATGCGGCGCAGGCGGCGCAACGAGGGCCAAGGTAAGCTGACCGCCATCGCCGGAGCCGAAAGAAGCAATGACTGTTTACGTCGGCGGCGAGGCAGAAGAGCTGCTCCAGCCGTGAACGATCGGGGCGAATTGGCCGGCGTGCCGGAGGGGGGGGACCAGACAGACAGGGTGGCCGCCGGCCGCGGTGGACGGGAGGAGGCGGAGGGCTTGGGCCACCACGGGGGAGGACGGGAGGAGGCGGGAGGAGGAGGCGGAGGACGGGAAGAGACGGGATACGAAGCAAACGCACGCTTGGGATACCACACGTTCTAAAAATCCTCGCCCAGCCCACGGGCCGGCAAGCGGAGCGGGCCCTCTAATGCCGCGTTCGCACCCCGGCCTCCTCCACGACTCGCAAAATCACTACTCGCAAATGGCCCGGGTCCGCCGCGGGGAATTCACGATTCATTCAAGTAGTGAGACATGCTTCTATCTATGCAAATATACACATTTATTTGCGAGTAGGCACTTCGCGAGTAGCAGAACGCGCTCGGTGAGTGGCGTCGCAGCTGCCGACGCGTCACCGCCGGAGGACCCGTCAATTTTCTCACTGCGGCTGCGGTCCTCATGGCGCCGGAGGAAAGAGCCCAGGAGAAGGAAGAAGAGGAGACGACGTACCCAAAAAGGTCCGTCCGACCACCGGCCTCGACCTCGGTCGACGCGAACGCATGGACGGAGGGAGAGTGGGCCCCAGCTGGGTGGCGCTTGGGTTCATGTTCGGCATCCCGAAGGGCGTCGTAACCCTTTGCCACTTCCGCCACCAGCAGGGCCCACAAAAAGATGGTGCTCGAAGCAGACCAGACGTGAAAGATTGGCCTCGCCAGCGAGGGCAAAAAAGAGGGTGGAAGGAGAGTCTTTCACTGCATGACAGGCCCCGCCCCCTGCAAAAGAGAGCCGAGATGGGAAAATCATCGACCGCAACATGCCGACACCACTGGATCCACGATCGACCCCCCCCATCCCGAGCCCCGCATCCTGGCAAACCCACCACCCACGGAATAGAGAGAAAGACAGAGCACAGCGTCGATGAGAGCATCTCACCGCTCGAGTGCCAGCTCTGCAGCACCTCGAATGGTCGTGTGCGCGTTCCAGAGACATTTGAATCTTCTGATCAAAACCTTTCGCTGTGTGATACATATGGAAAACCAATGCAACTGCCTTAAGGCATTCTTCACGTGAGAGTTCCGATCCCGCCCGCCTGTAGTCTGGCGCCGCCCCCCCCAGCCCCAACAGTACAATCGGTGAGCCTGGAAAATGGCGCCTTCTCCAGGCAGGGTGCATTGCTAGATGGTGGTAGATTCTCGAGCAACGCACGTAGTGTGCAATCTTGTCGGGCTCTGCGCAGCCCCAGATGCAGCTCGTGGG